TAATACGCTATCATTTCCACACCACCTTGCGGTAGATAGCTTGGTGCGTTTTTTTAATAGTGGATTAGGCCTACCGGGGAAACCACTATAAAAAAAAACGCACCAAGCTATCTACCGCAAGGTGGTGTGGAAATGATAGCGTATTATTTTCCTACCACTAGAAAAACTTTTTCGGCACGGTGTCATATGTCGCGCGTTCTCTCGATTCGCGCCGTTCGCCCGCTCACCGCTCCCCGCTCCCCGCTCGCCCCCGTCTCTCATCGATCGATGTGTGACTCCACCTCTCGCTATCGATTCTTGAGAGATGTCAACAAACACACCATTTTGCATGCTGCCGAGTCCGGCCTTCCGCTCCTCCGTGCACTTATTGGCTCAGACGTGTTTCTTAATTAGGCGATAATAATTACGGATTGTGTAAAATTTTATATAACTTTTCTTCTCAGTTTAACCCAATCTACTATAATCTTTGGGGTCGGCCATATCGAATCTGACACCCTGTATATGTATATAAATTTATCTCATAAAAAGTAATTTTTATAATTTTGGACAAAGAATTGGTACAAACGTCCCACTGTGCGCAGATGTAAACTTTACATCATGTTAAACATAAACTAAATTATAATAAATTAAATTTTAATTTAATTGCAGATAGCTCCGCTGGCTACACGTCCATTAATCTTCCATTGTTATCAATACATTTAGCTGTTCTCAGTGTATTTCATCAATAATGTTTAATAGGTAAGTTTAAATTGTTTATTAATTAAATGTTATTTAAAAAATTGCATTATATTATATGTTATATATTTCATTATTGTGATATTCTATGCTAATACAGGGTAGGCCATTTTAATCTAAACACTGCCCTTATGAAAAAATACACTTAATCATACGTTGACGGTCCGAAATAACCATCAAATTGAGTATAAACCTTCATAATCGAGTGTTTCATGAAGGTTTACACTCAATTTGATTGTTATTTCGGACCGTCAATGTATGATTGAGTGTACTTTTTCATAAGGGTGAAATCTCTCAAAATCCATACGTTTAAGACAAAAATGTTTCAGACAAAAGTTGTATGGTTTCGAGGGGGCCATAATAGGGTACCATTGGTTTGAACTTGAAGAGTTATTTGAAGGTCACAGGAAGGTCACGTTTAATTTTTTAATGGAACACCCTATACATTTTTGCATATTCTTGTAGCTTACCTTGAGAGCTTTCCAAATCACTGTAATACTGTTCCACTCCAAAAACTGTTCCACCTGTCTGAGGTGTGGAGTGGTTCTCGCTTCACGTGGAAAGTCGCAAACCCATGTGGAGCAGTACAACAGTAGAAGTACATGCGTGGAAACAGTATGTTCCACTCCCCCTTCGGGAGGGCTCCACTTCGTTAAGATATAATCTTACCCAAATCATGTCTGAGGTGTGGAGTGGATCTCGCTTTACGTGGAAAGTCGCTTCCGGGAAATAAGAGTTATTCGTGGTCAATGGGTATTCGGCAAATAAACGCGATATCCACGCGAAGCGATACCACCCCACACCGACCCCTGCTTTCAGGAATCTAGGTTGATAATTACGTACAATTCATAAAATTTCTATTTTTAGTAACTTTTTAACAAACAACGTCCGCAGGCTAAAACCTTTTGCATGTGGGAGAGGCTTACTTAGACACAGTACAAGTGGACACTGTGCAAATGGACACGGAATATTGTACACGGTTCATTTGGACACATAAAAGTTGCACACCTTAAAGTTGAACATAGCGCAAATGAACACCGCTTTTTTGAAAAGTTGCAGAACATAATGTTGGACATGGTGTAAGTGGACACTGTAAACTTGGACACGGTGCAAGTGGACACCGCTCACTTGCACACGGTAAAAGTTGCACACTGAAAAGTTGGACACGGGGCAAGTGGACACCGCTCATTTGCACACGGTAAAAAAAGAATATATTCTCTGCTTTAAAATACACGATCCTGTAAATTTACCATTTTCAAATCATGAACGGTATCTACTTGAGCCGTGTCCAACTTTTCGGCATGCAACTTTTACGTGTGCAAATGAACGGCGTCCACTTGCGTCGTGTCCAACATTATAGTCTGCAACTTTTCAAAAGAACGGTGTTCATTTGCACCGTGTTCAACTTTACGGTGTGCAAGATTTATGTGTCCAAAATTCCTATGTCCAAATGAACCGTGTGCAATATTCCGGGTCCATTTGCACAGTGTCCACTTGTACTGTGTCCAAGTGAAGACCACTCTTTGCATGTCACTCACCTTACCTGGTTACCTCTGTAGTACATAGGCGTCCGCGTCTCGCTGGAAATCTACGCAGGCATTCTATGAAACCCTGAGTGGATAACGCTGATGCTAATTCGAAGTGTACCGCTCTGTACACTGCACAAGTGAAAATACAAATCCACGCCTTCCCCTACCCCGCAGAATTAACGGTCCTGCAAAATCTACGCCGACAATTTCAAAAATTACTGCATCACGAACACGTCGGGCGGTAAAGGAGGGGTTTCGCACTCTAAGCGCTTCGCTGTCTGTCTCTTGCAGATGGTACACTTGACTACAACGGCTTTTATTATTTTCCGAATGGAGGTAATCCAAAATCTTTCGCGTAAGTAACTCATAACTATTTGTGTTCCCGCATGGCCTAAAAAATCGTGAATTTCTCTTACTAGCATGTAGACGATGTCGTGATTGCTATCTAACAGAACGGAACACAAAAAATTAAGTGTCATTTCGATTAAAAATCTTAGTCTTTAAACTGTTAGCGATTCTCGCTAAGAGAGTTCGCTGGTACCGCTGCGGATGGAAGCAGGGTGAGAGGACGTAGCGACAAGAGGAACTCAAGGAACGAATGCGCGCGGAAGGGGGTGGAAATCACGTGATCGTAACTCGGATCGGTTGAGTTAAAACTACCGTATCACAATTTAATATTGCAATGTGCTTACATATGAGAAGTCTGTGCAAGTAATATTCGTATGAGAAGTCTATATGCACGTGCACGGTTCGATATTATTGATCGATGGCCGGCCTGGTGAAGGTGATGCCCGAGAGCCGTGTCCACGCGGTGCCGGCGTGCGCGATGCGTGGTGAGCCTGAGCTGCCGGTGATGCTGTACTCGAGCTGTCCGGGATGAGCCGCACTGATGAGAGTTCACTGTGTCTTTCACTGAGTCTATTCTCGGATGAGCAGATGAGAAAGTCCACAAAAGAGTCCACACTCGAAAAACTAGTTGCACTTCAAGACGCGTGTACTACGTACCGTTGCCATGAGTCAATAGAGCGCCGGTAACGCACGTGAAGAAGCGCAGTCGCCTCGTGTCGCGATCGGGCATGCGCGAGCAGCGCTCATGCGGCGCTGCACGATCTGACCCGGCTGATGCTGCCATCACGCCGGGGATGATCTGAACGAGATTCAAATTAATCTCGAACATTCCGCCCGCCATCAGCAACGTTGTTGATGATCCCTGATCTTAAGATGAGATTGGCAGGACGGAGAGCTTGATCACTGGTCGGATGAGAGTGGTAGTGGCTGTCTTCAAAGTTACCACCCGCACGAGGCCATCCTTCCCAGGGCAGTAATTCGGGCTAACGGCCATTTGCATGGCGGTAGCCGCTCGTCGGTGATGAGCACCAATGATCCGATCTTGATATCGTTATTCTTATGGTGCCATTTTGAGATGGCTTGTTGGCGTTGTAGGTAATGCGATGACCATTGTGGCCAAAAATGCCTTTTACTGGATGAGCTGCCATCTTGAGAGTCTTGAGATTGCCAGGTCAGTGAGTGATGGCTCTGGTATTGCGGTGAGAGGACTTCCTACGAGGAAGTGGCCTGGCGTGAGTGCTGAGATGTCTTCTGTGTCGTCACTCAATGGTTCGAGAGGTCGCGAGTTGAGGATTGCCTCAATTTGAGTGAGCAATGTGGTGAGCTCCTCAAATGTGAGCACGGTTTCTCCAATGGTGCGCCCTACGTAGATGATATTTGATTGATTTTACGACGGCCTTCCATTTTCCTCCCATGTGAGGTGTCGCTGGGGGATTGAATTCCCATCGGGTGTTGTCTTGCGAGAGCAGGTGCGAAATTCGCTGATGTTCTTGAGTGCTCTGGATAAATAGCCTCTTGAGAGCTGTATCCGCGCCGATGAAATTGGTGCCGCAATCCGAGTGCAAAGTGTGAGCAATGCCGCGTCTGGATGAGAAACGTCGATAGGCGGCAATGAATCCCTCCGTTGAGTAGTCACTAACCGCCTCTAGGTGTACTGCTGAGGTTGAGAAGCAGACAAAAACGCAGATCCAACCTTTACAGGTCTTGGCACGTCTTCCTTTCCATGTTTTGACGGTGAGTGGCCCTGCGTAGTCCACACCTGTATGAGTGAACGGTCGTGCCTGCGTAACCCGAGAGAAGGGTAGTTGGCCCATCAATTGATGAGCACGGACCCCCTCTGCCGAGCACACGTGACACACCGCAGACTGTGAGACTTGACAGGAGCCCTTCGGCCGAGAATCCAGTACTGTTGTCGGACGTGCGACAGCGTAAGCTGCGTGCCTCCATGTAGAGTCCGTTGATGAGCGTGAGCGATGATCAATGACGACAGCTGAGAGTGACGAGGCAATATCACAGGATGTGTCGCATCGAGTGAAAGAGCTGCATGAGCGAGTCGTCCGACGACGCGAATGACTCCTTGAGCGTCGATGTACGCTTAATCGGTTGAATGCGTGTGCCCTTGCCAACGGTGAGTCTGCTTGTAGCGCCTTGAGCTCGTGAGAGAAGTACGTTGCTTGAGTTGCCTGAATCCAGAAGAGCCTCGCTCTCTCCAAGATCTCTGGAGAGATGTGTCTAACAGGCAATGAGTAGTGGGCCTTCCTCAACCGTGAGACGAATCTGAAACAGAGAGCTGTAATCCTCAATAGTTTAGTGAGGCTTGAGTACCTGTAGATGAGTTCCCATTGATAATCAGTCCTTGGCGTAACCGTCAATAGCGAAACGCCTGGGCGAGCTTCTGTTGCACTCAACTCTTCGGAGAGTGCTGGTTGCGCCGGCCATGAGTCTGGTTGGAGTATCCATGGTGGTCCCGTCCACCAAAGTGAGTGGTTTTGAAGTTGAGCAGTCGTGAGGCCTCGTGATGCGCAATCAGCCGGGTTGGAAGTTCCAGGTATGTATCTCCAGTGAGCAGCTGGAGTGAGTTCTTGAATTTGAGCCACCCTGTTTCTGACAAAATCCTTCCAGCATGATGCATGAGATCTGATCCATGAAAGTGTCACAAGAGAGTCCGTCCACATGTGAGTTGCCGTTACGTCCATGTTCAAAGTGGCTTTGACGTATTGCATGAGTCGAGAGAGCAGTAGAGCAGCCGTGAGTTCAAGTCGCGGGATTGAGAGCCGCTTGAGAGGTGCTACCTATGTCTTGGAGCACACAAGTGAAATCGTGGCGCCGTTTGAGTCGTGAACGGAGATGTATATGACTGCAGCCATTGCCAACTGAGAAGCATCAGAGAATCCATGAAGTTCCACCGGCGAGTCGCTCCATGTATTGAGCCACCGAGGTATTAAGAGCTTGGCCAAGCTTGTGAGTTCTTCTCTGATGATGAGCCACTGGGCTGAGAGCTGGGATGGCAGTGGATCATCCCATTGGCGCTTGTGCAGCCACAGCTCCTGCAAGAGAATTTTGGCCTTGATCACGACGGATGATGCAAAGCCAAGTGGATCGAATATCTGAGCCACTTCAGATAAGACGAGGCGTTTTGTGAGTCTGCCTTCAATGCGTGAGCTCCTTGTTGAGAATGCAAAGGTATCTTCTTGAGGGAGCCATTTGAGTCCGAGTATCTTGGTTGCGCAATCGTGAATGTGATTGGTAAGCCTTGGTCTTGGCTGTCGTTGACAGTCTTGAGTATGTCGAGATGAGTTGCATGTCATTTTGCTAGTGCGAAGCCGCCCGCCATGCAGAGGCCCTTTAGTTGATGTGCGACCTCCTGCAATTGTTGTATTGTATTTGCACCACCAAATATGTCATCGACATATCGTGATGGATGGCACAGCCAGTGGGAAATTATGTCCTTCATCCTCTGCTAATTGCAACAGAGTCCGTACGGCTAAGAATGGTGCGGCCTTGTTCCATAGGTGACCGTTGTCAGATGATATGGCACCTCATTGAGCTGATCGTCCATCCAGAGTATCCGCTGCAACTCCCAGTCATCCTTGTGAATTTTGATCTGCCTGTACATCTTGGTGATGTCCGTGGCGAAAATGTGACGATGTCTCCGTATCCAGAGGAGAACATCTGAGATGTTCAGATGCAATTTCGCTCCCATGTACATGAGGTCGTTGACAGAGTAGCCTGATGTGGATGCGCTGGAGCCATTAAACACGACCCACAGCTTTGTTGTTGTACTGTCAGGCTTGAGAACACCGTGATGTGGCAGGTAGAAGTGTGAGCGACGACTGGAGCTGGATGATGCCTTCGTCATGTGGTTGAGTGTCTCGTACTCCAACATGAATTGTTGATAGAGACGTTGATAATCCACATCCCTTGAGAATCGTCTGCGTAATCCCTTGAGGCACCGATCAGCGACATGGTAAGAATCACCCAAAAGATCCGCTGGTGATTTAAGTGGAATCCTGACGATGTACCTCCCTGATGAATCACGAGAGTGTGTAGTCTTGAAGTGCTCTTCACACCTCTGCTCGTCAGGAGAGAATTGATTGACATCGTGAGTAGGCACCTCCTCTTGAACCCAAAATTTGGTCAATAACTCATTGAGAACATCCTCGTTGACTTGAGTAGAAGCATGGTGCGTTGATGCGCGTATTGCTTTTCTATTGACTGGTCCAAGAACGAGCCATCCGAAAATGGAGAGTTGCGCTATCGGCATGAGTGGAGAATGCCTAATGATATTGGGCTTGATAATTTGCCCATAAGCGTCTGCTCCGATGAGGATGTCAACTGGCCGCGGGATGAGAAAATCTGGATCGGCTAATGCCAAGTTCCTGAGATGCGGCCATTCTTCCGGTTTCGCCTCGAAAGATGGTAAGATTGATGTAACTGTCCGGAGGACATGAGCTTGAATTGTGGCAGTTGCGCTGGAATGTGTCGAGCGTAACGTGAGTGACACGACTCCTCGTGTCCGAGTACACTCCTTGCCTGCAATTCCATTGACGACAATACCTGAGTATTGACGAGGGATGTTGAGCTGTCGAATGAGATTCTCCGTGACGAAGGTGAGTTCTGAGCCTGCGTCAATGAGTAGACGCGCTGAGTAATGAGTTGCGGATGAGCTGATCAGTGCCAAGGCTGTGGCGAGTAATGTTGAGCAGGATGAGAGGACGTATGAGCTGGTCTCGACGACTGCACCGTGTCTTCAGTTTGCAGGCGTGACCGACGAGCTACCGGTTTTTTGAGCGGGTGCAGCTGTCGGGTGTGCGTCATGCAACATCGTATGATGACGCTCCGTGCACCTTTTGCAGCCCTTCTGAGACTTGCACGAGCACACGTTATGGCGCCCTAGGCAATTAAAGCACAGGCGCTTGTTGATTGCCACCTTGTGCCGGTCTTGCGGTGAAAGATCTCTGAATTTGGCGCACATGACTATAAAGTGCTGCGCATTACAGCAGTCGCACGGGTATGAGTCGCCTTGATGAGTCGTCTGGTGAGAGCTAGCCTTCTTTGGCGGTGATGTTGTTGAGCTGGGGCCTGGTTGAAAAGTCGTGGACTCGATCCGCTCGAGAGCCCGTGTCCGAGAGGTCAGGAACTCCTCGAGCTTCTCGAACGTAGGATACTCCCGTGTGGCGCCAACCGTGTTCTCCCATTGTTCCCGCGTGACGCGGTCGAGCTGTCGCGTGACTTGGTAGACTACTGCGCAGTTCCCCAGCTTTTCCTTGACCTCGAGGGCCTCAAGTGCCTTGAGGGCCTCCTTCACTCCTGAGACGAGCTTGTCCAAGGATGCCACCTTCCTCGGCACAGGTGTTGAGTTGGCGAACAGCTTATCCATTCCAGGCAGGAATGGATGAGCAGTCTTTTGTTTTCGTATCTATCCTTGAGCAGATCCCATGACGGGGTGAGCGAGTCGCCGGTCATTGAGAGCCCTGAGATGAGTTGAGCTGGCGCGCCTTCCAGCGACGAACGGAGATAATGAAGCCTCTCCACGTTCGTGAGCTGCTGGTTTGAGATGATCAGGCTCGAGAAGAGATCTCGAAAGGCAGGCCATGCGGCATACTCCCCGGTGAACTTGGGGAGTGAGATGTCCCGTAGCCGTGAGTGCGTGCGCCGGTCCTCTCCGGCCGATGAGCTGGTCTGTGATTGAGCGGGCTGAGCTGCCAATGCGTGGCGGAGCACGCCGATGACTCGTCGCGCCTGCATGTAGCATCGTGACTCTTGTTGATGAGCATTCTCCGCAAAATAATCGTGGTGGATCAGAGCCGAAGGCCATGAGACCTCGAAGTAGGCGTGCTCCTTCAGAAACGCCTTGTGCGTCTCTTCAATCAAGAGCTGGAATTGCCCCACTTCCTCGAGGGATGTCTTTGCCGGGACATCCGGCAGCGAATCGGTGAGTTCCCTGAGCGTGGCGATCCGACCCATCTGCGTCTTGACCTTGAGTGCGAGTTCCGTCGGGAGCCGGGCCGGAGACGCCGTCCTCGCTGACGTGCGGTCTTCCGGTGGCACTTCCAACTGCGGGGTCGGAGGGCGGTCCGTCTTGCCCGTCTTTTGGGCGTCCGCCATGATGAGCTGTCACGCGAAAGGGACGTGAGATCACGTGATAGATGAGTGTGACCGTGGATATGCGCGCCGCGGATCACGTGATCGATACGTGTCTGAGCTGGTCCGCCCGAGAGTCCCGCCGCAATCCGGCTCGAAGGACCAAAAAATGTTAGCGATTCTCGCTAGGAGAGTTCGCTGGTACCGCTGCGGATGGAAGCAGGGTGAGAGGACGTAGCCACAAGACTCAAGGAACGAATGCGCGCGGAAAGGGGTGGAAATCACGTGATCGTAACTCGGATCGGTTGAGTTAAAACTACCGTATCACAGTTTAATATTGCAATGTGCTTACATATGAGAAGTCTGTGCAAGTAATATTCGTATGAGAAGTATATTCACGTGCACGGGTCGATATTATTGATCGATGGACGGCCTGGTGAAGGTGATGCCCGTGAGCCGTGTCCACGCGGTGCCGGTGTGCGCGATGCGTGGTGAGCCTGAGCTGCCGATGATGCTGTACTCGAGCTGTCCGGGATGAGCCGCACTGATGAGAGTTCACTGTGTCTTTCACTGAGTCTATTCTCGGATGAGCAGATGAGAAAGTCCACAAAAGAGCACTCGAAAAACTAGTTGCACTTCAAGACGTGTGTACTACGTACCGTTGCCATGAGACAATAGAGCGCCGGTAACGCACGTGAAGAAGCGCCGTCGCCTCGTGTCGCGATCGGGCATGCGCGAGCAGCGCTCATGCGGCGCTGCACGATCTGACCCGGCTGATGCTGCCATCACGCCGGGGATGATCTGAACGAGATTCAAATTAATCTCGAACAAAAACACATAAACTGTCTTCGTTTTTCTTCGTCTTAAAAGAAGATAACTTCTCTTCGGATGCAGTCGTGAACATTTGATCTTGCAGATGTTTAAGTAGCTTATGCTGCACTTCTAAACAAAATCGTAAGACTCGCAACTTGTTCTCGTAAGACTCATAAGGACTTACGGCGTCGACTACAATTCTATGTATATCATAAGACGTACGATGACTCGTAAATATCTACGATTTCTCGTAAATTGTATGGCTAGCAAGAAGCTGTCTGTAAAGTTATTGTTCTAAAGTTTAACAAGTATTTTCAGTGTTATTATTATACATAATGAACCAAAACATGAACGTATTATACAGGGTGTACCTAAACTGGCGATAAATATTTTAATGACAAGTACTTTGTAACATTTTGAGACGAAAATTCTAATACGAAAAAGTCGAGGCTATAATAGTTTTCAAATGGGAACAGTTTAAACATCTCGAATAGCAAAGCTAGAATTTCGCGCGCTCAGGGATGGCAAAATGGCCAGTGATAAAGGTGCTTTCTTAAACCACATGTCTTTGACATTAATGAAACTAGTGTAAAAATGTATGCAAGAGTTTTATTAAGAAACTATTTCTGTTTATTTGCAATGAATTTTAGAAATAGTTTAAAATGTTTTTTTTCAATAGTTCAAATCGATATTGATTTGTGTCAACTGTTATCAGCATATCTATTTGGTTAAATTGGTAAATCTCCACGA